AGGAGAGACCCATGAAGCTTTCTGGGGGAAAAATCCCCAGTGAAGGACTTCCGGGAGAACATGGCGGACAGATAGCAGCAGCTACGGAGGCTCTCTGAAACACCCAGCTTAGAATTCAGGAATGGTGCTGAGTAAGGAATCATAAGCAAGAGGAGATATGCCCCGGTGACCCAAGAACAAACTGGGCTGAGAGAAACCAACTGGGAATGCAATCCTGGTGCTATAACAGGAACAGATAAAGCCTCAGCATGGAAGCTGGAGCCTGCACCATTGGAAGCTTTTCCCGCCACCGCTGCTGTGTCTGCATCGGCTCGGCAGGGAGAGAGACACACGGAAGCTCTGAGAACGGGAATCGGTGAATGGAGTTGAGAGTGGGATGGGCAGGGAGCCATGCATCCACCTCTGGTGAGTGAGGGGAAACTGGGACTCTTCCACGGTCTAGGAGACTCCAACAGAGGACATTCTGGGACCAGGCAGACTTGCGGGAACAGGGCGCTGCAGTGACTTCAGTCACCAATCCCCCTCTTAAGTGGGATTGGTGAGCAGTGCCTAGCCCACCTGATGCTGCTGGCTGAGACCCAGTAGGCTAGCAGAGCCCAGGTCCCAGCTCCTGAAGGTAGATTGACCTGGAGGAGTGGGCCCGCATAGGCTGCCTGGTCTGCAACTTCCTGGTGTGCTGCGGTGGGTGGGAACACCTAGCCGGTGCAATTCAATCAGACTGTGGCTGACAGGGAAGGAAGCTGGGCCTCCTATATACGCTTGCATATACAAGGAACAAAGAATATGGGAAGAGGCAGCAACAAGAAAGGGTCCTGGGCCCCCAATCCTGAGAAAGAGGCAACAGCAGACACAGCACCAATAGATATAAAGCGCTATCTCGAGAGCCTCATAGACAAGTTCAAGAATGAAGTTATTAATGACCTGAAGCAAGACATAAGCAGAATAGTTAGAGAAATGCTAAGCACCACCCAAGAAAAAACAGATGGTGGAATGGAAGAACAGAAAAAGAGGGGAGAATTGTTTAATGGAGAAAATAGAGAAAGCATAGAATACGTGAAGCAGGTTCAAAGAGATTACCAGGAAACTAAAAAATCTATTGAAAACTGGCATAACAGTTTGAAAGAAACTAAGGACAGATTATCTGAACTGGAGGGCAGATTTGTAATATGGGAGCATGAAATGAAAAACTTCTTAAAAATAACAAAGAAACAAACAGCAATAATACAAAGACTAGAAGATGATAAGAGGGTCTATAACTTAAGAATTAAGAACATAAAGGAAGACGTAGGGACACAAGCAAATGAACTTTAAAAGCTACTCACAGAAATAATCCAGGAGAATTTTCCTAATTTAGAAAAAGGTAAAGATACTCAGTTGTATGAAGCCTACAGGACCCCAGCCACCTACAACCCAAACAGAGCAACACCCAGACATGTAATAAAAAAAATTCCAGAAATCCAATACAAGAACAGGATACTAAAAGCCATCAGAAACAAGAAACAGATCACTTACAGGGGAACACCCATCAGAATTACAGCACACTTCTCTGCACAAACCATCAAATCATAAAGAGAGTGGGGGGAAATAATTCAAGCTTTGAAAGATAATAATCTCTAGCCAAGATTGATATATCCTGCACAGCTATCCCTGGAAATTGATGGAAAAACAAGGTGCTTCCAGGATAAAGAGGAACTAGGGAAATATGCAACCACCAATTCAACTCTACAGAGAATACTGCTAGATATTCTAAAAAAGAAAAATACAAAGAATCCAGAAGTAGCAGCAGAGAGGCCACAATGAATGGAGCAGAAAACAAAATGAAGAAGACAAACTGACAACTAATGACAGAAAAAGAGCTCAAGAGAAATGAGGCAGAGAAGATTGGATGATAGGAACAGCTATTTTGGAGAAAATGACATCTTAATAGGTAATACTGATTTAGTATCATCTTGTTTTGAAGTCTCATCAAGCTTTTGTTCTTCTGTCTCCATTGGTCTAAACAGGTGGTATCTTATTGGATTTTATTATATATGATAGTATAAGTAAAACCTTTTATAGACAAGGAGATTATACTTCTGTATAATGAACCATTGTTCATTTTCTGTTAGTTGATTCTAAATACCCTGTAATACTGTCATTCTCTTAAATGGTTTTACATTGTTTTGATATATTTGATGCTACAGTATACGAAGTTATACTCAAAGATTTCAAGGACAGAGACAATATGGTAACTACTTTTATGTTGGGATAATCTTGTGGTGAAACACTATTTTGCTTAAATGGTTATGTTTTGATCTGCGCTGATTTGCTGTTATGCCCTCTTTTATCTCAATCTCCATTTTATTATTTACTTTTTTTATCCTTTTAATTAAGGGAAAAATAAATTTAAAAATAGCAGGATATATTATAGTAACCCACTTTGACTTTCCATTATCTTTATTTAAAGCCCTGTTTTGCTCTCACCATCTTGTTTTGACTGATGTTCCTCTATTCTGTTTTGCTTGATACTACCAGGTTTGAAAGTTTAGGCAACAGCTGTGAAGATAGTGGGATTCATTATAACGCCCATTCTGGTTGACTATTATCTACTTTTGAAGACCTATAATGTCTCCAATGTTTTGGTTTTGTTGGTTTTGTTCTTTACTGTTTTTTTCAATTTTATTATAACTAATGATATAGGCAATTCTATTAGAGATAGCGGGAGGCATTATGATAACCACTGTTGATCACCTAGTAGTATGCTTTTACATTATCTATTACGTCCACCCTTTTGATTTGACTGACTGTTCTGTTATGTCACATTTGGTTCTACTCTCTTCCAAAAAAGTAATAAGAACCGTGGGAGCAACAAAACCCAAAATGTGTAATTGTCATTGTACAAAAGAGAGGAAAATAAAGTGCTCTAAACAATATAACTGTATGTATATTTATGTGTATAAGATAGGTAATGATATTACTGAGTTTTGTTGGATCATTGAACAGAACTGTTTGCAGTCTCACTGTTGGAATGTCCACTTTATAAGCTTTAATTTTGTAACTTGAACAATTATTTCTAAGATGACAAAATGTAATCCATTAACTAGTGATTTCCTACTGTTTATTTTTTTACTGTAAATCTATATAACTTGTACCCTTTCTCTGCTTTTTTTTTCTTTTTCTCCTTAAATAAAATTTTAAAAAACCCAGTGAAGAGACAACCTATGTGTGGGATACATGTCGCCCTTTCAAAGCATGCAGAGACCAACGTGGCTGAGCGGAGCACTGGTGACAGGAAGATGTAGTGGCTATGGGCCTTGATAAGGATTTCAGTTTCAGTCAAGAGGAACAGGGAGCCACCAAAGGTTTAAAAAAGATATGACGTGATTTACGATTTAAAATAATATCATGGCTACTGTGTGAAGACTTGATGAAAGCTGAGAATCTAATATTGACTCCAAAATAATTTTTCAATTCAGTAAGTAAAGAAACCACTGATACGATCTTGTATTCCAAGTGGCCAACACTAGCTGTCTTTGACTGTGGCGAGACTTGACACAGGGAGCCCTCAAAACTTTCTGTTGACCTCCCCATTGAGGTGATGGTCATTAGGTCATTGGTACCCAGTATTTGGATGCAGCAGGTGTGTACCTAGCTGGAGGGACTGCTAATGGCCTACAGCTGGCCCTGGCCTTGAGGTTCAAAAAGGTTATGTCGGAGTCCCACTATGCCCACTATTACCTTCCTGGTGGCCTGGTCACCTTCCTGAATTTGGAGCTACCACTGAGCAGCAGGAAAGGCAGGCACTGCATACATTCTTACTGCTGTAGTAGAAGCTTGCTCTGGGTCTGCTTAGTGGCCACAGAGCAGGAGGTAGGAGCCCGTCCCAGAACTGCTTAGAAATCTCATTCAGCTCACAGTAGGTGTTGGACTGTCTTAAGAAAGATTTTCTTTAGTAACATATATAAATGTTTCAATATTCTAACAATTGGTACAGCTGCATCCATAGATATTGGGTAATGACCAACCCCCTGCTCAGGCCATAAAGGGAGGATCAGAGACACAAATTCAAAAGATTTTCTAATCGCTGACATTTGGGCTATGAAACAGACATTAAATAGGACTCCGATTGGAAGACTAGGGAAAGGAGTAAGCTTTTGTGATTGGCAATGAAGCACAGGGTTTCAGACACAACAATAACTTTCAAATGCCTGTTAGAGACCAAGTGGAGCTTAAAGTACATATTTGATCTCAGCATTTGGAATTTAGTGTTAGAGCTTTTTCACTTATATGATTTAAATGATTACTTCAAGAACTTGATAAACAATGACCATTTAATTAGAATCGTGCCTCTTTTAAAACAGGATTTGGATATATTCACCCCTACTTGCCCAGTTCAGTATTCATACACGAAAAGAAAAGCAAACTCCAAAATCTGTGTAAAAGCCAGCATCATAACCCGGCTTTCAGATTAAGCTATAGGAAATACAAAAAGAAAACCATAAATCACTTATTAATATAGGAATTCTCTTTAATGCTTATGTATTTCTTGAAGATGCAGGAGCTAAGGGAGATTAAATTGAGCTTTGATAGAAAATCTCATTTTAATAAGAGGATACTCTACTTTTATTTATCAGGTCTTAATTCGTGTATTACTGGAAAGAAAGTGTAATTTTCAGGTGAGACATGGAAAACTCAAAAAAAAGAACACCAGATTTCCATGATCTATCAGGCTCAGAAAATAACATCAAGAGGACATTCTAAAACCTGAAATGAAGTTTAGTCAGTGGTAGAGCTTGCCTAGCATCCACAGGGCTCTGGGTCTGATCTTTAGCACTGAGATAAGTTTTAAAAACTCCACATAAAACAAAAGAGAAACAAATAATACAGTTCTTTTAGTCAATAGATCTGAGAAAGGAATCTCAGAAGAGTCATCACTGAACGACTTGGATCCATTCCTTTCAAAATGTCTTTCTTGAGTTTTAACTGAGATGATATTGTAAAAGAAGAATCCAGAAACTACAGAGAGTATAAAAATTTTTTTAATAAACTGTTCAATACAGTATTTCTATTTGGGGCCCCTTAAGAAGTGGGACACTGAAGAAAGTGACTGTCACCCTTGGGAACTCAGTCTTACAAGAGATAGGACTTAACTTTTCTCCAAAAGACCCCTCGTCCAGTTCTGCCCAACCATCTGCCATATGGAGGATCAGGAATCATTATAAAGGACCAACGAACTCAAAAGAATCTGCTTTGAAACCGATAAACCTAACAGGTTTGCTTTAGGCTTCTTAGATGCAGTACCAAGAAAAAAAAGAAGGTTGATACAAGAAATGTGTTTAACATTATCTTGCTTTTCCCTCCCTTCTATTAGCTTTTTCAGACAGGAACAGAACCAGAAGAACTGTGCTTTTACCAGCTAAGCATTTCAAATGGGCTCATTCCTCAGTCAAATTTTACATTCAAGGTACATTAGTATGAATGGACTTCATGAGTTCATATTGTCAGAAATGAACATGTAATGTTCCCTTCATGTCTTCAGCCTAACTTTGCAAATTCTACAAGTGCAAAACGAGTGTGTGCCACAAATTCTCTGTTTGGGGTGTTATTGTTTATTAAGTGCTGCTTCTCAAATAGGAATACCTTTTAGTGCATTAAAATATAAGACAAATTATTGTGCTTCAGCTCTTGGCAGAGCTCAGCGCCCCAACCACCAACACTTGATGAAAGACTCTACGTTGTGGTGTCATGATTCCAACGTGTTTTGGTTTCCTTCTAGAGTCATAAACTGCACCTTGGGTACAATGAGGGAAGAGTTGTTCCTTCGGATAGAGTTGTTCCTTCTCATGGAATTGTTCCTCCTCATTGAGTTTCGCTTCCGCAGAGAATTCTGGTGGGACAGCTCACTCTTCTGGAGCGTCTGGATAAGGATGGATGGCTTCTCATCCAACTCCCGGGCACTGCACCGTGGAGCAGCCACCTTGACAGTGTTGCCAAATTTGGAGTAATCCACTGAATACACACCTTCTTCCTCAGTCACAATAGACACAAAGCGATGGCCCCACTGAATCTCCTCTGCAATGTAGGAGGTTCGTGCCTGTGTGGTGATTCCTGTAGTTTCTACCACACCTTCTAGAATAACTATGACCTCCAGATCTTGGTTGGCGAGGTCAGTGGCTGAGATATCATACAAGGGGCTGCGCTTGTCAATCACATGGCAGATGATCAGAGGGGCCACCAGGAAGATGTTATTACTCTCGATTGGGTTGTCCACGGGAATGTCCAGTTGGTGAATAGGCACCACCTCTCCTTCAGGGGTGGTCGTCTTCTTGACCACCTGGATGCGCACAGAGGCACTGATGATCATGCTTTTCCTCAGGTCGCCCACTCGGAACATGAAGCAGAGCTTGCCATTTCGGACAGCAATCACTGCATGGCGGCTGAAAATCAAAGTCTCTGCCCTTCTGTGAGCCTGAGCTGTTTTCATGAAAATACAGCCTAACATGACAGCGTTGATGATCAGACCCACAATGTTCTGGAGGATCAGCACTGTGATGGCCAGAGGGCATTCCTCTGTCATCATCCTCCCTCCAAATCCAATAGTCACTTGAACCTCAATGGAGAAGAGAAAAGCTGAGGTGAAAGACCTGCAAAGAATGACAGCAGAAAACAATGCCATCAGGGAGGAGTATTGAAGAATGAAATACTAGTCCAAGCTTGACTTTTCATTTTCTTCTTCTATAGGCTATAAAATGTTTCTGGAATGACTACTCAATTTAGCCCACCAAATGCCTAATTTAAAAAACCAGTATGATCCCCCCTTCTTTTCTCTCTCCCCCTTTTCCACATGCATCTATCCACCTACCTCCAGACTGTTGTTTAGGGATTGTGTGAAACATGGATGTCATAAGTACACACAAAAATATGAATTATATCGATAGGCATATTTACTTTGTGAAATACTTCATTTTCACAAAGAATTAATGTACTCTGTAGGAAATTTTTATTGGGAACTACCAGCTAAATTTCCATTATGCATCACATACCCAGGTTTAAGAGACTTGATCCCTATAAACTGAGGAACCAATGAACTTTTATTTCGGTAGAACTTTTAAAATCATAATCATTAGCTAACATGTGTTGTATACCTTTTATAGAGAAAGCAGAGTACACAAACCTGTCACTCCAAAACACTAGTATTTTTAATAAAGGGTATTTTTCTACTTGGCAAGAAAAGTATTTATTATCTCATTTTGTTTGCTAAGTGGTCTAGAGAATTGGAATAATTAAAGGAAAAATTTAAGACAGAGATTAGTAAATGTCTGTATCAAGATCATATATTAATAGGAACTTCAGCCCTCTCAATTCTGGCCTGAAAGAAGCAAAGAGAAGGGGCCAACAAATGTCAGAATTTTCTTGGGAAGCTTTTACAAGTTACACATCTCACTAAATGTACACAGATTCCGTAGGCTCAGGGTAAGACGCTTTGAACAGCTCCCAGGTGATTCTGATTTATCTCCAGTAGAGAAGAGCCACATCTGGATATTATTAATTTATTCATTTCATTCCACAGCCAGTACTGCAGTAGAAACATTATTAGCCCTATTTTCTGCCACCCAGTGTCAAACATCTCTAATTTTACAGAAGACAAAGCATGCATCAGCCAGGTGCCAAAGCATCGTATCTGTTTATTAATGGCAGGCACAGTGAGCAAACAAAATGTTCAAACACTGGAGTCCTTAGTACACACAAAGCACTTTAGCATGAGTCAGGAAAGGCAAACAAGACACTGGCTGGCTTTTAACTGGTGTTAAAGTTGCCCTTCTTTTTCTCCTATTGCTGAAAGGATTTATGGAAAACTACAATAATAGCTTTCTACACTAACTAAACACACAAGATATATTCTGTAGTCTACATGTATGGCAGAGAATAATGAACATGAAAGAAGAGGCATGAGCATTGTTTTGATTTCTAACAATGATCCATAATTCAAGGAGCAGTCTAATGATGAATAGCCCCACATGTTTTAGTGATTTAAGAGATTATTTATGGACCATATTTTCATATCATATATTTTATGAAAGAATTTAATCCTAGTCACTATCAATTATTTCTGTCATGCTAACCAATCTCAAGAGATAAACCTATCTAATTGTTCCTTCGCTCTGTACAGAGGAGAGCTAGATTGAATACTAGGGACAAACAGGAAACATTTTCTATCTTCCGACTCAGAAAGTCATCTACACAAGGAAGAAGGTGAGTCACCCTAAAAGAATGGCCAAATGCTGCTTGAAAATACTGGTGCATATCCACTGAACAAAAGTGGATTCCAACTTTGACAATATGGCTAGATACTGAATTTATGAAAGGAAAAGAAATGCAAGCAATTATAATTTTTATTACTTTTAAACTCTTTAAGGAAGAGAATGTGTTTCTACTTGTATACTTTTATTGGAAACATTTCTATATAATTTGCTATAATTAAACTGTTGAGATTTAAGTGTAAATTGTACCATAACAATTAAACTCAGTAAGAATAGAAATCAACTTAGGACATGTCATAGTTTTAAGAAGTGCAATTCAAAACATTAACATTGTTACACTGACAGAACCATCTTTGTTCCATTGTTTTGTTGACCTCATTTATTGTAATTCACACCTCCAGGAATGCACCTAAGAAATGATTAAGTTTCAGAACATTTTATTTGAAAAATAGTATGCAGAAGAAAATAGTTTTTAATAGTTAGTGCATTCTGTAAAATTCTTTTAAAAATTATTGAAGGGATATTTCTTTTAATGACATATTTCTAAAATTGGTAAATTATTTTTTACATAGAAAAATGTAAGCAGAATTGGTAATTTATTTTCAAGGTTTAGGATTATCATTTCTTTATCAGTACCAACTGCATATTTACCAAAAGCTTATATTTATATGAAAATGATTCACCAAGATCAGGGCCAGTAAGTTTTCCTATAAAGAAATACAATATTGTGGATGATGATATTTGACTGTCAAATCCTTATTAAAACCAGAATTTTAATAGAATTTTGTTTCCTTTATATCTAGTGTACTGATGATCAGCCATGTTTTTTATCTACAAAATTTTGTAATAAGTTTGAGAAAAGAAAAGAATATATCTACTCAGCAGTGAAGACAATACATTCGTTTTAGTACACCCTTGTCTCACTAAAATCTGAGCTCAAATCTGTGGAGTGTGATCTCCAAACACTGATGCTACACCTCTCTTTGAAATGCTGGCGTTGCACTTGCTTAGCAAACGGAAGGACAGCAAGTTCATATTTCTGCACTTATTCCTTGCAGTGTGGCACGCTAGTTTCTTAAGATTTTATGTCACTGAAGTCTCATTCTTACAGTTTCCCGGCTGTAATGGTGTTTGCTCAAGTTTCTTTGCTTTGCAAATTATGTGAATTTGGAATCTTACTCAGAAAACATTCTGGAAGTTTTTCTAGTACTATTACTACCATTATACTTCAAAGTGAACATTTTTGCAACTGATAAACTATGTCTTCCATTTCCAAAAATAAATTTAGAAGCCAATTACTCCAACAAATTTAGAAGCAAATCACTACCTGTGAAAGGATGAGTGAACTACTGCAATCAAATGCACTTTATCTATCTGGGCCATATGTATCTAAGAAGCCAAAGTGAGAGGCTGGTGATTTAGCTCAGTGGCATAAGCACCTGCCTGGCAAGCACAGGGTCATGAGTTCAGCCCCAGTGCCAAAAAAAGCCCCAGTGAAGTAATCTAAGAATTAACCTCACTGCAATATTAGGTCACTTCTATATCATAGCCTTCCATGAAAATCTTAAGCCAATTTCCATTCAAAGTTAGTATTTTCTAGTTCTGAATCTTGAAATAATGTTTAATTTCTGAATCCAAGCAAGCAATCAGCTATGTCAAGTAATGTGCCAGTGCCATTATCTTTTATTTCTAAAAGTGTCATGGGTGAAAGAAGTCGTAGAAAAATATTACTTGCATCTACGCAACATTTTTGGTTCACTGGTATTTACTTACACAGTGGAACGGTGGACTGCAGCGTTTTCATACTGAAAAGTAAATACATACTTTTGGAGTAAGGAATCCTTTGAGCTAAAACAATTTGAAAGTAACTGATACAATATTTTCCAAGTCCAAAGAACTGAAGCTCTACATTTTCAGAAATTCTTTATCTAAAGCTGCATTTATAAAGCATGTTTAATGTATTAGGTTTTTTTCTTTATTTTGTTTTTCCTTTGTTTCTGAAGGTCTAAAGCAAATTCATTATTTATTTCACTTTCAACAAAACAACAGCAAGAGAAAGGGCATTTGTATTATTCCTATTTTTTTCCTTTCAGCTTGCAACGACCCTGCCTCATGTCCCTTCATTCTTACCTGACATTTGTCACACACACAGTGGACTCCAAGGCACTTTTCTCCAACCCACTTTTCTCCATGTAAGCGTAGATGTCCCCATGGGCAAAGGCCACCAACCACCACATGATCGCAAACAGCAGCCAACTGCAGAGGAAGGACATGGTAAAGATGACCAGCGTGTGGCGCCATTTCAGGTCCACCAAGGTGGTGAAGATGTCTTGCAGGAAGCGTCCCTGCTCACGAATGTTCTTGTGCGCCAGGTTGCAGGCGCCGCTCTTGGCGATGAAGCGCGCTTTCGGGAGGCGGTCGCGGATGCGTGGCTTGCGCACGTTCTCCGCGGCTATGCGCGCCAGCACGTACTCCTCCGGGATGATGCTTTTTCTGGCCAACATCTTCCCGTCACCATAGCCAGCCTATCACCCGGCTTGCACCTGCCTCCAGACCTGTCCTCCTGCACAAGGAAAACGTTGGGGGAAAAAAAACCTTAAAAAACAGAAAGAAAACAAAACAAAATTCTCTGCATTTCCTAGTTTCTGTAATCCCTGTATTCAGGGTATATTTACACATGCGAAGCGACATGCAATACCAAACGTATGATTTTTATCACGAATCTAGCCCGTCCTGGAGAAACTTTGTGGTCTGAATTAAGAGAAGTTTCGATTTTTCTTATTACTCTGAACGCATACGGATATAGCCTGAGTTAAAACCAGGAGCTTGCTTGTAAACAGAGGCTAAACGGTAAATTGTTTGCTATTAACCGCCTCTGTAGTGCACGCCGCGTCCACGACGAAAAACTAAAGCAAGCCGGGTACAAGATCGACTTGTGAAAGTGTTTCTATGATGTAGCAATATTCAAAGTAAAGAGGGAAATTCTTCCTTCGTTATTTTTAGAAGCAGGCAAAGCAAAGGCCGCGGCCTCTTGCATGGTTTGAATAACATGTTAAGTGTAATATGAATGAAGCAAAAATAAATAAAACAAGGCGAGATGCTACGGAACTTGAAAATTATGCGTTATTTTAAATTTGAAAGAAGTACTAGATGATTATAAAAATACAATGCTATGGAACTTGAGAATTAAGAAGAATTATTTTAAATGTGAAGAAAGTGCCAGGTGCAATGTAAAAACAGCACCCTCCTCCAAAAACAAACAAAAAAACAAGATAAAAATTTTAAAAATCTTTTCGTGAACGCATAATGCATTGAAAAATTCATTCCAGCGAAGAGATCGAACATACAAGAAAACCCAAACAACAGCTTAACGGCTGCAGCAGAGTTACAGGGTGTGTGTCCCGAAAAGTCCATTTAAATCACTTGCGTGGACGCGGACGGCCTCCCTCCCCTCCCCCGGGCGCAGTTTAAACTTACAGAGTCCGGGGGGCGCCCCGACCTCCCCGCGCTCGCCGGCCGACCGCGCGCGGGGCCCCAGCGCTCCCATCCTGCGCGCGCGGGTGCAGAGGGCGGCCGGTGCTCAGGAGGAGTTAAAATAATAAAAGGTGCAATTGAATCTCCACGCGGGCAGGCTGGGGGAAGTGGGGTGGGTGCAGATCTTCCCTCCCCCTGCTCGTTCAGCTGCCTCGGCGGCTCCTAGTGGGCAGAGGAGGAGCTGGGGAGAAGATTTTGGAGAGGGCGCTCCACACTTCAGCCTCCCAGTTAGGGCTGTGACGCGCGCCAGACCCGGAGGCCGCGGCCAGGCCGGCGGTGGCGAGGTGGGGCGGGAGGGTAGCGGGGCGGGCGTCCCGCCGAGGTAGGAAGCGGCCCAGGGGGAGGGACGAGCCGGCCAGGGCGGGACCGCGGAGCCGGAGGCGCTTTTCCCAGTAGCCGCGACCCTCTGCCGCCGCGGGACGCGCAGGCTTTAAAAGGCGCTGCGCTCCAAGGAGCGAACTTTCTGAGTCCAAGATTACTGACGTAAAGAGATTTTTTTAAATTTTTTATTTTTATTTTATTTTGCAACCTGGGTAGATCACTTGGTTACTTCAGATGGAATAAAAGCAGGGAGAGGGAAAAATGTTTTTCCAAGGTGTTCAAGTCCTGCGCGCACACTCGTTTATTTACAATGAGTTTCCACGTAGGAGGGAAGGGACAAGTGGTATTCTGAAATCCACCATGGAAAGCTGTTTCTTCCCCAGCTCTCAGGGAATTAAACACACGCACACGCGCGCGCACACACACACACACATGCACACACATACACACGAAGTGGGGAGCGTGCTGTGAAAGAAAAGAAAAACCCCCAACAATCTCTTAGAGTGAAGAAATTTGACCCCAGGTGAGGACCCACCGAAATGGTCCCTGGGTCTTCAGGAACTAATTGCTTTCTGAAAGGTTTCAACTCCTCCCTCCCTAGATTGCCTGACCGATAAAGCAGAGCACTTGCGCACAAGAAACATCACACAGTAAATATCCCTCTATAGCTTTTGAAAAGCAGCCAGCAGAGACAAATGTGCTTTCTCCCACAGGTCAAGCCTACTGATTTTGGCACTTGTAGTTAATGGAAACTTTAATTCTTGGAAGTTTCATGTGTTTTCCAAGACTCAGGGCAAAAAGTAGATGGAGCATACACAGTATGTTCACTTAATTATCAACGACCTAGAGTTAATCTTTGGTGGCAAGTAAAGAACACTTTTTCCCTTTTGTAGATAAATGTGCTTCACCCTATCAAGGCTGTAGCCCTGTCTATTCAGTTGGGGGCATTCTCTTGACTGTCATCAGCTTTTGTAGTAATTGATACAGTAACTTAATGGCAGGTAAATGGGAAGGAATTTGTATGGTCAGTCGCAGCCACTCTAATTGACAGTTAGGTTTGATGTGCAACTTGCCCATTATTTTAGCTTGGAGAACATTCCTTAACATCTATTTTATGATGGGGGGGAAGTGTTTCTGGATCCAGGACTGTATAATACAAGTCACAATTGCTGATCTTAAGAGACAAACAGTTGAAAAAGAAGACATTGATGAACTCTAAAGCAAGCAAAGATGTGATCGAAATGGGAAAGGAAATACAAGATGCCATAAGAATTCAAACGAGGGGTATTAAAACCATGGACTAAGGCATCTGATCCAGTCCTTAAAAGACTAGATTGATTTGAAGTAGCGGAGAGAAGACACCCTGCTAACAGCCTGGAGCACTAACAAAGTCGTGGAGTGTGAGAAAGTGCTCTGTGGCATAGCAGTCAAAACTAACTTAACACCAGCAGGCAGCACAGCAGGCTGGGGCACTTGACACTGGTGGCCTCTGTCACCAGGGTTCTCAACACAAAATCAGCTATTCAGACACTTGCTCCTCCCACCCCAGGGTTAGCACCCTCCAAGGACCCCCACCCCCAGAGGTCAAGGTTGTGAGGTATTCAGTTTCTTATCCAACCTCTAATATCCTTCAAAGAATAGTGGTGCTCGAAACATATTTTTTGCATCAATGAAAGAAAAGTGAAGCATTTCGGGGCCTTGGATGAAAGATTGCACAGACAGCTTTAAACACTCAGCAAAGGAAGCCGGACAGTCTTCAGTGGGGAGTTGTTATTCAATCTGGGGAAGATTTTGATTACAGTTAAGAGCATGTTTTAGGAGGACTGATGCAGAAGGGAGGCTTTGATTACCTCAGGGATTGTATTTCTAAGTAGAGCTCGTTGGGGCTCCAAAATTCTATGATTGACAAGAGGGGAAACTGGAAACTATTACATTAATTGGAAAAGGACTGAAGCCCGGGGCTGGTAGGTAAAGTTATGAGCGATGCACAAATAACTAGGGAAGGGCTGTCACAAAGATCCAGGGCAGGAGCGGAGGAGTCAGTGGCAACCCCGGGATACTTATGCTGGTGACAGATAAATAGTAAAAAACTAAAAATGAATCAGAAGTGAACTGTTGAGGATTTATGAGGTTTGTAACAAGCAAACCCATATCTAAATCCTATGAAAATTCTGTTCTTTTCCTGAAACAAATATTTTCAGCTTGATATTTTTCCAACGAGGTTTGTGCTTCTAAATATTGAACTTTAAGTCAAATTTCAATGTGTTCTGAAATGACGAGCTATGTCATTCTTCTTATGAGTCAATAATTTAGATTATTTAATTCAAAATAAGAATTTTGAATTAAAGGTTGAACTTTCACGAGTAAATTGTTGACAATTGTGTGTCTAGAGAAAAGAGGCCAATCAACGGAAAAATACATACTATAAAACATATAATTGTCATAAATTTCTTTTTCTCTTTCCATTCTTCAGTGACATTCTGTCTTTTTCCTTTTATTCGATTTTAATTTTTTCCCTTTAACTTGATTTTCTCCATTCGGCAGAAGCTACATGAGGAAGCATTATCGCTACCTAACCTTGGTTAGGTAGAATAATCTTCAATTATTCCTAGCTCTCGGTAATGGGAATCAGGAAGCTTGCTGGATGAAAAAAAGAAGAAACAGTGATTGAAACATGGTGTTTCTCCCTTTCTTGCATTTACTTTTCCATCTTTCCTTTCTTTCTGGTTTCACAATCATTTATTGGGATCCATATGGGGAGTTTGAAGTTTGCAGTTTTTGAGATTTATGATAGCACCTGTCTGCAAGGCTCCCTAACACATCAACTTTCCCGTCCCTTATCATTTTTCTCAATTGGAACGACTCATCCTTCCCTTATCAGGCATTGCCCTCACAATTTCAAGTAAAAAATTGCATTTGCTGGCTAGGTTTCTCCTTTCATGTATTGTAATCTAAATGTCTTCCAGGGCACACACTAGCTACTCAGTAAATGCTTGTTATTGCCAGGTATAGTGGTCCATGCCTGTCGTGCCAGTTTCTGGGAGATCGAGGCAGAAGGATGGCAATTTTGAGCCCAGGCTGGGAAATTTAATAAATTCATGAGACCCTGTCTCAAAATGAAAGAATAAAAAAAACGTCTGGGGATATTATAGTTCAGTACCAAGGCCTTAAGTTCAATTCTCAGTACTACAACAAATAAATAAAAATTACTATTAGCTCATGGCTAGTCTCCTTTTTCATCTTTTTTTAAAAAAATTCATATTATGGTCTGAATAGAAAACATTTAAATGTACCCTTGGTGAGAAGTTGGTAAAAGAAATCTATTAATTTTTCAAGAGTGCATATCCTACTTAAGTTTTTTTTCCTAGTTATTTAACCATTATTTTCGTGTTGGTCCTTAAAATCTGCATATGTTTTCTTTAGTGTTCAATGAGTTTTCTAATTATTCTCTTAGAAATAAAAACTAATTTATGCAGGATGCAAAAAGTTTTAAAAGAGAATAAAAATGATCAGTAATGAGTTTAGGACAGAAGTAACTTTGTTTAAATATTATGATTTTTTGGCTCTTCAGGAATCCTGTTGGAATCTGTTTATGATGCAAACCAAAGGAATGTATGCAGCTGCAAAGTGATTCAAGGATATCTCTTCACTTGTAAGTCAGCGTGGTTCAGGCTCCTTTTAGAACCTCTCAGCATTTTGTTTGGGAATGAAGAGATTTTGGAAATCCTTTCTCCTCAGAAACAGAGCTTGCCCCATGCTTTCAGACAAGTGGAATATTAAGCATGAAGTCGATGGCTCTTTTTCAACTGTCTGCTCCTTTGATTACGAAATACGCATCAGTGTAGTCCTGGAAATTACATTTGCGATAAAGAGTGAAGTCCTTGCACTGAATGACCTTGCCTTGGACTCAACTTTTGAATTTCGAACGTTTGGATTTCCACAGTCATATTAGACTTAAGAATTCAAAAAGTCTTCCAGATGATGGTTTATGTTAGCAGCCCAAATATCGGTCAGTCTATTTGCTTGGTATGCTGCTTTATTAGTGTCCTCATATAAACCACTTTGGAACGTATTGCTTTGGAATCAGCTTAATAAAACTGTTACATAAACTAGTAATCAAAACAACATGTTATAAACTCACTTTTTTTGGAGTTATCATGAATTGGGAATGACAGTTTAACTCATCTTAGTTGTCTGTTCCAATGTGTTCAGGGAACATTTTTTTCTGAAATATATATTTCCTTGCAAAGAAAAGTCATCTTCCTAAATTAGGTCACCCCCCTTCTTCAAAGATATCTGTCAGAAATATAAATGAAAACAATCTCCCTCCAGCTTGCCCGCTCAATTTCAAACTTAAGCTCACGGGTATCAATCGGTAAGGCCAGGAAAAGGGGAATTAATAACAATCACTAGCCTTTAATTTGCATCCAGGTAAAGAAAGCCAAGTCCTTCTTGCAAAGCAGTCTTGGGGAGGAAAGTGTTTACAATCAGGTAATACACCGTATGATTATTAATAGTGTTAAGAAGAATCAATAAAGGCAGCAACTGGTGAAAGCATGTTCTAGGCAGCCTGAGACCACCTGTAAAGG